TTTCTCTCAGGAGATGGGAAAAGCAGTTCTAGCCCAGCCTGTAAGGCATGTTGTTATTCTGACACAGTTCGTGTTGGTGGGTTGGTTTGTGACGTTTGGTTTGTGCTGTTTGGAAGATGCTCATCCGGGGAAATGTACCTGCAAGCCTTTTGGCCAAACCCGGATCATTGTAACGTGTACAGGGATTAAGCAAGTGCCACGTGATTTACCGTCCAATACGGCACAGTTGTAAGTGAGGCGAAATAACATTTATAACCCTTTGAATATACTCGAAAGCTCATTGGCTACTTTGGTCACTGTACACAACTAAATATTTTTTCTTCTAGTTAACCTCTATTTATAAGTTTTTTTTATGTCTCGTTGTAAACCATTTTATGTTTAAAAGTTGTTTTTTGTAAATAGTGTACAATAATAAACTTGAAACTTGAAACTTACCACACACTTCAATCTTTAATATCCAGAACCCTCCTCAGATGAGTCTAATTACGAGAAATGATTAAAATGTCCTCAGTTGTATTCGTAGTCAATTGCATGGGAAGTTTTAATATTTATCCACTTAATGTTTTTGTTATATCGCTCCACAACACTCCCAAATATTGCCTGTTCCCTAAATTATATATTGTCAAGTAAAGTAATAATGCAACAATCAAAACAGATAATCCCTTTCTTTCTTTTCGATACTGTTTGGTCACGGTGGTATAATACGTCTAGTCATATATCTATGTCCTTCCTCCATCTCCTTCGTTTAGTTCTCTGGTTACGATAAACGTACACTGGTCAAGAGAGAACATCTGTTGGCCACTCACATTATGAGTCTTCTAAACTTTTCTGGTGCTGCCATGGTTCTCTTTCAGAAATCTCTCGGCAAATCATTTGAAGTCGATAGAAGAAGACGCCTTTAGAAATCTAACATTACTTAAGGCCATGTAAGTTGATTAGCTTAATGGAAACATAAGCTAGCAGATCTTATTTTTGCAGTGAAAGTAATAGCTCCGACTCAGCACAATTCACAAGAAACGCGTGATTTAATTACTAGCTGCTGTTCGGGAAAGATCAGACCAGACTCGAGATATCGGCGGGGATCGAGCATGGACTAACTATGAATAAAAACTAACTTTACTGAACTTTACTGAACCTTTTTATGTATAGTACATTCAGTGAGATTAAAATGGTCTGACGAACGCAAGCCTTGTTGCTGTGTTTTAAAATCTACCCTCCTAGTTCTCTTTGTCCATAGGTCGTTTTCAACTAATGTCATGGCCGCCATGTTGGATGATCATTAACTAGAGAATTGAAATAAGATTCATATTCTGTTAGAAAACATAAAATGACGTCATGACAAAAATACTTGAAACCGTAACCACATACAAAGCACAAACGCCTATTTCAAACGACCCAATCAGTACAGTCCTAGAGACCAAAAGATTCCATTTGAATTCAAACATTTAACTAAAAATACTGTGTTTTCTTTTCAGAGATCTATCAAGGAACAGCTTGAAGTCTATTCCACAAAACGCTTTCCGTAATCTGAACCTACTGACATACATGCAAGTAGAGTTAATCTGATTTGTGTTACAGTCAAACTGGATCTTTGGTTACGAGCTCTCTCAATGTTCCATGTAGATTTGCTTTGCCTAACTTGCTGTATAGTGTTAGTTCAACGTTAGACCCACTCTAGAGATTCGACTATTCCACAATTTGAGTCGTGTTCACTCGTGTAGACTCGTCATGACGAGACGAAATTTTCTAACCTCTACCCTCCCCGTCTAAATCACCTAAAAAGGGCGTTTATGCTAATTCTTACCCTGTGGACAGGACTTTTCCGTGAGTCGAGTCGTGTCATCTTTGTGGACTCGTCACGATTTCCTATTTCCTTCCCCCCTCCACCTCACCTTCTAAAATCGCTATAGGGCGCTTTTATAGAAGTCGACTTGACTTAAACTTTCCCATAAGTGGAAGCGCGTCGGCTCTTCAGTACTTTTACTTCCTCTTTTATAAACCACCGCACTCCCAGTGTGTTACGCCGGGAACATATCACTTCCTGGTTACTTGTAACCTCGAGGGAAGTAAATTCGATGACTAAATTCTGATGTTTACGACATAACTTTCAATAAGTCGAGTCGACTACAAAGTTAGACGACTCATCTCACTTTTGGTATATTTGACAACCCTCGCTTTAGTGCAACTTCACATTGTGCATTTGTATACGCATGGTTATCCTCGTGCAATTTGGAACTGAAACAAGCACTAGTAAATTTTTCAAAGGCTAACAACATTTCATCAGTGGATGCAGGTTGCAGTCTGAAAGAAGTTACTCGTGCTTGTTTATTCCAAAGTGCACGAGAATAATCATACGATTACTTGTTTTTGTTATCATAAACTTTATTGGTTTTCTGCACAACTAGTACTTACATGTGATTACGTGTTAATAATACACTCAAGTACAATTACTCAGGTAATTATCATAATTTTTTCATTCTGATTGGTCAAGGTTTGTGTCACATTTAACAGTTGCTCCACCAGCGGGCGTTGGATGTGTGCACAGGCCCGCAAATGATCCCCAAATTGGTCCAAAAATGATCTAAGGGGCCTCTTTCTCGAACTTCGAGAAAGTGGTGCTTTTGTATTCACAGTCAGGTGTTGTAAAGTCTCCTTTAGTTTAGCTCTGCTGGGTTCAGATGTATCAATATCTTGCATCTCATCCGGCAGGTCTATTTGCATGACCCGTACTTAGTCATATCCCTACTGGCTATTTAGCACCTCATTAAAGCGTGGTAACAATCGCTGGATTTTATAGCATTCATTACTGAGGATCTTGCCATTTTTGTCCCTAACTCCAACACTTTAATTTGCCTCCCTTTTTCATTACTCGTTACTCTGAGTATACGATGTCTTCGTGTGCTGTTATCTCACTGCATTTTCCGTTTCTTGTTTGGCTCTAATGGGTTCAGATATTCTGACTTTGCTTGAGCTGAAACATAATTGTTCCATGTCATTAAAATCGCAGAATTCTAAAGACATAGAGGCGAAACTTTTATTTTCCTTCTTATAGAAATCTTGCCGAAAATAACATCAAAGGTGGATTTTATCTCCCTGGAAATGCTTCACACGTGTAAGTTCTTTTTCTGTTTAACAAATAGATTTCATGTTAACGCGTAAAATGAAGTCAAAATGTGTCGAGAACAAAGAAAGTGGCACACGAGCATTTATTTTGGCGTCGTCTATGATCTATTACTGCATAGACATACGACAACTTAGAATCTATTTGTTTTCAGTTGTTTTACAAATTTAGTAAAGAAATAAAAAAATACGTGTACCAAGTTGCTATCGACTTATAGAGACACGAATGGAAGTTTGGGAAAACAAGAAATACTATCTTTCCACAGTTTTTACAAGCTCTCCCAAGCTTCCTAGGAAACACGAAGATCGTGTTTTCTATTTTGATTAGCAAATTTCGAGACAACAAAGAGAAAACAACTTTACTTTGATCATCAAAATGTAAATTAGCTCGCACCATTACTACGTCAATTGATTGCTCTACTTTTGAGTTTCTATCGAGTTTAAGTGTAAATCTACCAGCGTTAACTCACGAATGCCGTTCTCTAATTGGCTACGCTACTTGCTGCCTATTCTGTCGTAGATAGTGAGTGTGCGGTTGTGCACAAAATGACGGCCGCTTCTTTGCGTTATCGAGGTGTTTGTGAAGAAGATTTAGATAAAGTGCATGTTTAAAGACTAGTAGATATACAATAAAACAATTGGATTATTCGCTCTCTACATCTACGCGTCACAGAAATCTCGAGCTCATAATCTAAATAGAAACACGATTTTCAATCAATCTGGGCTATTTTCTAGTATACACAGTATGTACTAGTTCTATTCATGATAATACAGAAATAGCGTTCTCTAATAAAAAGAAAAATAAACTTTTGACAGGCGGTCTACTGTCTTCGACGGATAAAAACTATAAAGTGATAAAAATAATGTAACGTTAAAAATTTAAATACAGAGAGTAATTCGCATAAATTTTTAAAAAAAATTACTGCACGTAGAAATTTCTATTCATGTTGTTCGATGCAATGTCGGGTATTGTGAAAAGAGCATAACGTCAGTAGTATGCTGGGGAAATTGACTTTTACGGTCTATTATTTTTTGACCTTGTGCTCTGAGTCAAATCACCCAATTCAGGACAATAGACCAATCATGGCGTACATTGTGACTCACAACATTGTTTTCTTTGTTCATAGCGAATTGCAGCACAACAGGATATCGTTGAATGATTTAAAAATTATTCTTAAAGAGTCAAAGGACATCAAATTCTTGTAAGTATGCTGTATAGCTAAGAGAACAGAACTAAAACTATCTATCAACATTATGTCTTTTGGAAGGTGCATTGGTTATTCCCGACTTACTGGGAAGAACATGCCGGTTAACGTTTGTCAAAGTCGATCGTAAATCACAAATAAATGAAGCAAACAAATCGCAATATTTAGAGATGAAGTCACATCAGGCTTAGCTGGTTTTCACGCAACTACTCCATCCTGGACGAATTGGAGTTTGGAGATGTTGGTTTTATGGAGGGAGGAAAACCGGAGAACCCGGAGAGAAAACCTTGGAGCAAGGCTAGAACCAACAACAAACTCAACTCACTGCCACATATGGCACCGGGCCGGAATTGAACCCGGGCTGCATTCACCTAGGGGCCAAACCACCTCCCTAATGTTTCATGAAGGCTATATTTGCTTGGTTTATATATTTCTGAACCAANTCAGGACAATAGACCAATCATGGCGTACATTGTGACTCACAACATTGCTTTCTTTGTTCATAGCGAATTGCAGCACAACAGGATATCGTTGAATGATTTAAAAATTATTCTTAAAGAGTCCAAAGACATCAAATTCTTGTAAGTATGCTGTATAGCTAAGAGAACAGAACTAAAACTATCTATCAACATAATGTCTTTTGGAAGGTGTATTGGTTATTCCCGACCTACTGGGAAGAACATACCGGTTAACGCCGGTTTGTCAACGTCGATCGTAAATCACAAATAAATGAAGCAAATAAATCGCAATATTTAGAGATGAAGTCACATCAGGCTTAGCTGGTTTTCAAGCAACTACTCCATCCTGGACGAATTGGAGTTTGGAGATGTTGGTTTTATGGAGGGAGGAAAA